GCTCGGCCAAAGCCTCCATGAGCCTCTGCTCTAGGCTTGTCAGTCCCTCCTGGTGCTCCTCTGCCTGCTCCAAGATGTTGTTTTTAACTTCATCCAGCCCTTTAAGGACTACGGTCTCAAGAGACGAGAAGTTGCTTTCAAGAACCTCTATACGTCGGTTCAAGACCGCCATACCAGCCTCTGCATGGCTGATTCTTTTGTCCAGCTGGGCGGTGCCGGAACCTTCGGGTTCCTCCTGTGTGAGTCTTTCACATTCTACTCATTCTTCACTTGTTCAGATTTGTTCATATATAGTGAAGCAAAAGGGCTATTTGGCCTCCTTATATCTTGTCTTCCCTGATTTACTTCCTGCCTTCTTTACTTGCCATCGATCCTTGGCACATTTTGTGCCTTCTAGACAGTAAGAGGACTGAAGCTTGAGTGAAAGTTTAGCCACCTTAAGCTGTCCCACGGCCTTTAAAAGTTAAGCCCGTGACAATCGACTTCACTAAAAACCACCATGGCTGCTACCTTCCTGGTCACCCCGCCAAGATACGGCTCTTATCATCTCAACGCCCATTTCAAATTGCTCAAAAAACGCATTGTCATCATTAACAACAACGTACCCAATGTGAAATTTAGATTAAGAACTCATGTCCTAATGGGGGTCGAACCCAGGTCGCTAGATTCAAAGTCCAGACTGCTAACCACTACACCATAAATTTTCATCACAGCCATAAATTTTCCCTGTTCTTGCATTGATTTCTTGCTATTTTGAAAAATGGAAACCTATTTTGAAAAATGGAAACTTTTACACGACCCTGGACAATTTCAAGCAATTTTTGATAAACAACTAAGATCAGAGGAATTTGGTTTTAGCTCCGAGAAATCAGAAACCAGTAGTAGTAGTAGTACTTTTGAAGAAGGGTTGTTGGTTTGGTTGATGGAAAATCATAGGCCAAGCAGAGGGGGCAACCACCCTCGCAAGAATTCCCTTTTCTCATTATTGGCCTCATTCTTCATACTGAGCTGAACCTCCATTTTTTGAAGTAAAACACACTCTAATTTATAAGAGAGAATTTAACCAAAGAGACCTCGTAAGTCTCTTACTGAGGACATGACCCTAGATAGGAAGGTATGGAGGGCGAGGATTAGGGTAGAAGGGTAGTAGGTAGCAGAGTGTTGTCGTGTAGTATTATTTAGATTATTATTAGTACTGTGTAGTATCTTATTCTCCATTTTTACTAATTACAACTACTTGTTGCTTCATTTGCTTTGTTTACCTTTTTATGTTGTTGTAGTTATTTTCCTTTCAATCTTGATTTGAGTACACTTCTTTTGAGCCGAGGGTCTATCAGAATCAGCCAGATGGACAGATAGATATAGATAGACAGACAGAAACAGACATACAATACATATATAGACACACATACATATGCAAAAGGGGCTGTTGATTAGAGCAAAAAAGAAATCATTGGCATGCAGGAGATGGTCAACCACCCTGAAAGATCCCCATTTTTCTCCAATTGCCACATTTTTTAGCTAAACAGTTGATGGACAACAGCATCTGAAATGGGGTGTTCAAGAAAAAAGTGAACCCAATTGGGTTTGGGTTTTCCAGGTCAAGAGAACGACCATCCAGACTATCATATGGTTGTCGTACAACTTTTAGAGCTCATATTTTGCTTTTCTATGAACCTACAAAGAGAAAGCGACCACACCATGGCTGCAGACACCGGTTTGCAACTGATGCCATACCAGGTCTCCCCGCCAAGATACAGGTCAGATTTTATCAACGCAGTAAATTGAGGAAGTGCACAGATAGCCGATTTCATGACCCGTACTAAAAGATTAATTGGAAGTTGAGGCTCAGATCTGTGTAAAATGGGGCAGAGGAAAATGACAATGCCATGGCTGCAAAATGAACTAATCATATGATCAGAGTTTGCCCCGCCAAGATACGAATCAGGTTTTCTCCATGCCCCGAAATTAGCCCAGATCAAATATCATCATTGCCTCTCGGATAATAGAAATTTTTGCATAGCAATTTATGGACAGTTTCAAAACACAAAATGATCGGATGAACTGATCATATGATCCAATTTTACCCAGCCAAGATATGAATCGGGTTTTCTACATGCCCCGAAATCAGCCCGGATTAGCAATATCATCATTGCCTCAGGGATAATAGAAACTTTTGCATAGCAATTTGTGGACAGTTTCAAAACATTAAAAAAACAGAGGGAGTACTATCAGCATCACATCAATGGCAACAGATATTTGCCTTTTTTATAGGTCAAAACTAAACCAAACCATGAACAACCCTAAATATACCAAAGGAAAAAAAAAAGGGAAAGCAGAGGGTTGTTGGTTTGGTTGATGGAGAAATCAGAGGCCAACCAGAGAGAGCAACCACCCTCCAAGAAATTCCTTTTCTCTGTTAGCCTCATTCTTCCTTCTGCACAAATTGTCATTGTTGTGTGAAAGACTCCTCTAGGGCTCGGATTTTGCTGTATTTGATCATGCAAAGAGAAAGCAACACACGCCATGGCTGCAGATACTGGTTTGCATGTGATGCCATACCAGATTGCCTCGCCAAGATACGGTCAGATTTTATCAAAGCAGTAAACTAGATAGCCCAGAAAGAAGCAATCATCATCACAGTCCATTTTCGGGTGATCTGTGAAGATCAATAGTACTTCCTCGTTCAAAATTTTCAGCAGAGGAATATTGTACGTGCAGATTGGGATAAGATCCTTAAGATTGATCAGACAGCACGCAATGAAATTCTAGTGCTGAAAAGTGGTTCCCGGAGAAAAATTGATAAACATCCTACTTGCATTCACCCTGTATTGTCTAATATGGACTCTTTGGCATTTCTACATGGACCATTTCATTGGCTTGTCTGTAAGAAGTAATTTGGTGGTTTCATTTAGTATTTCAAATGTCAAGAGTGGGAGGAATGCTTTGTGGTTATTCTTTTATACTCATCAGGGGAAGGACACTTCTAAGTTATGGGTGACGAAAGACTATGGTGTCAAGAAATCTTGGAATAAGTTGTTTAGTATATACAAGGTACCGGTCTTTATTCAGCCATACCGAAATAAAGATTTTCGGATGGTGAAGTGCCACTCTGCTGCAAACTTTTGGAACATTTTGGTTCTGTATTTAGGACATCCAAAGGATCTTTTGACTTATGGCCTCAATGCGTACCATTAGAATGGATTCATTTGTATAGAAAGCTTGATCTATTCAAAATTACTTACTTGGGGATTGGCTATATATAGAGAGGGTTTAGCAAAATCCTCGCAATTATCAACCCCAATAAGAGACAAGCCATTGCAACAACAATAGATTATGCAACTCCGTGGTTTACCGTTTTAATCCAATCAAGCTTTTTTACATCCTCAACCAGTTGAACCAACGATAAAGAAGAACAATAGAAGGAAAAATCGTCCTGAGAAAGGTACCATTGGCTAACAAGAACATGTTGGGAATTTTTACAGAGACAAAACAGAGTAGTAACAGAGAGATTGAGACCAAAAAAGACACTATACGTATACACACACATATACCTACACAAAAGGAGCTGTTGGTTAGAGCAACGAAGAAATTATTGGCATGCCGGATTCAGCACCGTGATGGCTGCAAACCTTTAGCATGTTTCCATAAACGCTAACCAGGTCGCCCTGCCAAGCTATGGTTCAAATTATCTGAATGTGTCATTGGATTTTCTAAGAAGAATTTCATCATAGCCCCGTCATTTGTTTATTTGTCATATTCTCCACTCTACCTTTTCTCATCCAATTTGGGTTTGCATGGCGTAGCTCAGTTGGTTAGAGCATGCGGCTATTAACCACAAGGTCGAATGTTTGATCCCTTCCTATAGCATTTCCAATCATATATATCAAGTGATTACGGATTGAGCATAGTCGATAGATTGGTTTGGGTTTGCATGGCATCAGAAAAATTCTATCTATATATCTATCAACCACGGTCAATGAGAAAGCAAAGTGCTTTTGGTTTTGAAATCATGGGCTTAGCAGAGAAGAAAAAGCACCCATCTTCTCTGACACCTCATTCTTTTGGTCTGAAGCTTGAGCTAAAATTTGGACAATAGATTTCAAAGAACAAGAGGAGCTGGGTTCGATTCCCAGAAATTTGAGGCTCAGATCTGCATTTTGATCAGGCAAAGAGAAGGCAAACATCATCACTGCCTCTATTATTCAAAAAGAGGAAAAAGAAATGTGCCAAAAACACACATACATAGATGCAAGTTTATACTGAAGCTGCGGATTGAGGACAGAAGATTACTGCCTATTTTTCCATGATCAGAGTGACCTTTCTGAGTATTTCATGAACAAGGGCTGTTGGTTTAGTTGCTAAAGATATCATTGGGCCAAACAGAGAGGGGCAACCAGCCTTAGAAGAAATTGCCTTCCCTCTGTTACCCTCAAGAGAGGGGCAACCACCCATGAAAAATTCCTCATCTCTGAAAATGAAACATCATCACTACTTCTATTACTCGAAAAGAGGAAAAAGAAATGTGCCAAAAACACACGTACATAGATGCAAGTTTGTTTAAGCTGAAGCTGCAGATTGTGAACAGATGAAGATTAGCGCCTATTTTTCTATGATCAGAGTGACCTTTCTGAGTATTCATGAACAAGGGCTGTTGGTTTAGTTGCTAAAGAGATCATTGGGCCAAACAGAGAGGGGGAACCACCCTTAGAAGAAATTGCCTTCCCTTTGTTACCCGCAGGAGAGGGGCAACCACCCATTATTTTTTCTTTCTCATATGAGAAATCACTGAAGTTGCAGAGAGGAGCAACCACCCATGAAAAATTCCTCCTCTCGGCAAGCCTGTTAAATTCTCTCTGATATCATGGGCTTATATTTCAGAAGAAGATAAAGTACCCATCTTTCTGTGAAAAGTCATTCTTTTGATCTGTTGCTTGAGCTAATTGGAGCAAACTTTAATGCATTTCAAAGCACAAGAAGTCCCCAGTTCAATTCCGAAAATTTGAGGCTCAGATAATGCATTTTGCTCGGACAAAGAGAAGGCAACCACGCCATGGCTGCAAAATCACCAGTTGCATGCAAAAAAAGGGAGCCTCAGTTGTAGGCCATCCTGGGATATGCCAAGCCAAGATACGGGTCGGACTGTCCCCAATGCCTGATTTTGTTAGCCCAGAAAGTAAAACATTATCATCATCACAGCCTCTTTTGCACAATTACTCAGAAAGGAGGAAAAAGATACACACACAGTGAGATCTACGGCTTAAGCTGTAGATTGAAGAAAATACATGCATATGTTTCAATTGTCATAACTGCTGACCAATATTGTCTGTGTATTTCATGAACAAGGGTTGTTACTTTAGTTGCTAAAAAGAAAATCATTGGCACAACAGAGGGGCAACCACCCTTAACAGTAAATCCCTTCTCTTTATTAACCTCATTTCTCTTTCTGGGCTAACATTTTTTATAGGAAAATTCTTGACTCTCACCTGAAAATTTCCCAACTTTCTTCGAACAAATTATTTTCCTTCATACCAAAGACACCCTTTTAGAATATCAATACAACATAACAGCTATGTTGCTCGGACTCTTCAAAAATGTCGATAGGTGCGTGTTGGATTCTCCAAAAGTAGTGTACTTTTGAAAAATCCGACATGGGTATGGCGTCGTTTTGAAGAGTCCGAGCAACATAGCACAATAGGTA